AGCACGCAGATATCAATCAATGGCTGTCATTTGAAAATAGGAATTAATACTGTCTGCTCCTCTTACACTGCTCTGTTGGTCAGTAGTTGCAAGTTTAAAACGAATCTGTTTATATGAATACAATTACTAAAGTTTATCTTCTCTGTAGTAGTCTTTTGCTGAATGTGGCGAAAGCAGATGATTCATAGTCAGTTCATATATACCGCAAACTACACAGAAAAAAATACTTTCATAAAAACAACATGATTTCTGGTGGTTGGGAAAGTCATTCGTATTGTTTTTAAGCAGTCAAAATAAAAGGATTTTTAGTAATTTCAAACAAAAAATGAACTTACGGTCACAAAATGTGTTCACCCCATATTGTGGTACAATGTTTGTTTGTACAAAAGCAGCAATAAACATTTGTATTTAATGTTTGATATATTTTTCTATAAAAATCTAATAGAAACTCATTTTAGTTTCAGCGTAATATTTATATTACACAGAATAAATAAATAAAATTGAGAATTATTTGAGCCCTTGTTTGATTTATTTTGGACATAACCAGCAGATCCAGTATATTTATCTAGTTGAAAGCTGAATCTAGTAACTCACAGGTAGTCAGAGGAAATACTACATACCGGATAGTCCAAGATGTAATCAGGCCACATCGGTTAAGAATGAGTTGACAGTGTTAATCCCTGTTTCTTCTGCAATATACCTTATCATATCATATTTTTACCAGTACAATCAAATTTGTCGCCTCAATGGGGAATAAGTAAGCTATCTAAGACATACCAACTCGATTTCCCAATGAAAATTCAGCCATCGTTTCAAATTTGCTAGTTTGCGGAGGCTTATTACGTAAAATGAAGAACCCCTAAGCCTAATTGGTCAGGTGCAGAAAATTTTCACTGGTGATGTACATGAATAACAAGCTTAGTATAGTTTACTTTATTTTTCCATTGTTTTTGCTGTATGTTGCTCAACTTCACTAAAACATTTATCAAGCTAGTGTGTGTTGTCCTTAAATTTTCTAGCATTGTGTCTCATTGCTATAAAAAATATCAAATTTTAACTTGCAAAGCGCAAAGTCGCACCCAGATAGCGTACACAGAATAAATTAGTGATTGAATGTTAAGGTGAAAATGTTTTATCTGGTGCTATGAGAATTCAATAAAACACCGAATAGTAATTGTTCATTTTACCTTGTTCAATAATTGTCTCATAATTTTCTCGAAGCACACTCAATTTCATAGATCTTCATTAGATTCCTTGGAAGCGGCCTACACTGTAATTGGTGTTTTGTGCATCCGGGATTACAACAATATATATCACCTTCTTAAGAACAACACTAGTGCACTTTGAGGTTTGGATGTATAAAATGACGAACCTTGTCTTAATTTATTCAGTTTTATAATCAAATACGAGGAATGTTTAAAAGCCATCGATGGTGAATTAAAGAAAATGGATTAGCATTCTGAGCGCTGAGAGACCATGTTCAGCAACCGTAAGGTCAATATAATGAACCATAGCAATATAAAATCTTCCCTCAAGGGGAAGTTGAATTTTATGTTGGTGCAACAGATGTTAAAGATTGAAGAAAGCCATCCTATTTTTGATGCGATTTCCTCCCTACCTTCACCTCCAGCTAGTATAAAGCTTTCAACCGTGTCTAGGTAAACATTACGAAGGGCGAGTACGGCCACAAAATCGTTAAATTCGGTTGATGGAAAACGCATATCATGCCCCTGGTCACCAAGAGTTCGAAAACAAGTTTAACGGCCTGTGTATTGTAACTCAGCAAGTTGATATTATCGGCTTATTCCCTGAAGGAATTTAACTTCACCATCTGCTAGGTAGAACAAAACATTCTGTTAAACAACCTGCAGTTGACAGTTGGAAAAAACGGGGAAACAGTACAACTTTGCACACTCTACTGGATACGAAAAATCTTGGTATAAGCTTGTCGTAGACGCTAATCCAATCTAAGGAATAACGTTAAAAGAAGTAGAAATATTTCTCCAATAGCCCATCAATCAACAAACAGTTTCATTATATGGTCCAGCCAATAGCGCGAAATATAGTATATACGGTTAGGAACAAAATAGTCTGTGGTTTAAGCTGCGTGACGGTGTTATGATAATATTCTGATCTCCTTGTGGTTTTATGCCTCCGAAGACTTGGCTGTTAAGATAGACTATGATACGTAACTCGAAATAGCTATGAGAAGTAGATGCTATAGATCTGCTGATTTATGAGTTAAGTTTCAGTTTATAAAACCATTAACCGTACACTTTTTGAGGCGGATTTGGTTGCTGCCTCAAGACTTCCTATTAGGATAAAAGAGCAGAAGGAAAAAATAAATGTTGAGACCAGAGTCAAGGGGGAGATAGAAAACTCGTATAGATTAGAGTTATCGGGATACAGAATAGATGCACGGTGCCCTGAAGTGATTCACTCATTATGTAAGACACTGCAATTGACTGTAAATGGGAAAGCCAGAAGCTTTGCAGAACATTTCGACCATGCTTACTTATTCGTGACCCAGAACGGAGGAATGTTCTCCGGCGACATCGCGTTCCACCTTTGAGGTAATTAAGTTAACAGGACTTTACAGTCGAGTTTGTTTTGTTACCTATCGCGTTTTGCTATGCTCAATGCCGGTTGGCATCGAGTGGTTGGTGCCACGAAAACTCAGACACCGGAAGTCTAGGATCTTGCGACACAATGCTTCAAGTTACAACTCACTAGACCAATAGAGTGTAAAAGCTTTTGATAAACAAAAAACGCTGATTAGTATTATTAGATGGTATTACTTCTAGTTTCTCCGTTAGCACATATTGAATGGTGGTTAATAAATTAATTTATGACGGTTTATTGTATGTGTTAAACATGCCACCGAATAGGTTGCAACGGCGAGCGATGTTTGCCGAGGCGGGTAGTGGGTGGAACAAAGTCAAGGGTGGTCAAGCTAAGATCTGGCACTAGGGTATGAAAACCCTGGCCGGGAGTCTGTTTTGCATAGGTCCCGTTAGGCTCCCTTGATGGTAACCTCTCAATTTCTCTGCAAAGTCAATGCAATGAAATCCTGAATTTTCTCTTCGATCCTACTTCTAACCTTTCCTGTCTCTCTCCTTATGTTCATCCGAATGGATAACCAAAAGACAGCAACCAAAACTGGCGCACAATAGTGCATGGTTAATGGTTTTAGAAACTGAATCTGAAACTGATTGCAGTTTAACCGTCGCTTTTTTATGCAATTTTGACGATCATATAAGCACATATGAAGCTAAGTACAAACTAGTCAATTATCAGATTCAAGGACAGTTTTCTATTATTGTAGTTAGTTTTGTATGTAACCCCGATATGTATGGCTCATAGCAATGTGATTGATCTGGGTCGTTTACACTTATTAAAAAATATTGAGGAAAATAATATCTGAAACAGTACAGAAATGCAGCCTAAATAATATGTTGCACGGTTTAGCCTACGACTGGAATTAAGTTTGTTTCACATTTTCCAATGCGTAATGTTATCTGCGTCCAAGTAAAGGATGATTTACCATCAATTCCAATAAAACGTATTAAAGAGGTATTAGAAAGTGGAAGCTAGTTAACGTTGTTCAATGTATGGGACAAAAAACAGTATTTGGATAATGTAGCTTTAAGATATGCATTCAGCAGCGGAGGGTTAAGTGACAAAGAAAGATTTCCTCTGTTATTGAAATATTCTATGCAATAGGACGGCAAGTTTTCTATTTTATGCAATCATTATGAAGGCAAATTTTTGAAATTAATTTATGCTTTCTGATTTAAATTTTTGGTGTTTATATTTTGTTTTGGAATTGTAATGAAGAAAGGTGCCATTTTATTGTTATTCTTTTATGAGATGTTCGATAATGCACTGTTTCAGTTTGGGTTGTCCTTGACTGTCTTCAACGAAATCTTATGAGTAAAACAGCCTAGTCTAAAACGAAGGAAGTAAGTTACGCGAAGTAGACAAAATCTTACACACTGAATGGTGTTTACCATCGGTTTCACTTCACTCCAACAATACAATTGTTATAAATTTGCTTTCAACACACCACAAACAACCGTATTTAAACGGTTGCATGGATACATGAAGCTCAGTGGTAAAACAACCATGCTGGATACCAGATGGATCACCATTGGTCTTTTTCTCCCAGGACTACTTGCCTTGGCCAAAGCCATAATCATCTGATAAAGTGCGCTTTGGATACAAAATGCCAGCACGTTTTTTCATTTCAGAGGAACCGTATAGCTTTTGTACTATGCTAACAATCTCAATATGCATACTTTGTGGTAACTCAATCAAGTGATAATGTTTTTCCAGAGTAAGACTTGTTATACTTTTGGCTGAAGTCGGGGACCTCGGAAAAATTAGTCGTTTTTCGATGTGGTCGCCAACTATGAGTGTGAATAGTAAAAAAGACAGTCGAGTATGTATAACTCTTGTGGAGTTTGTACAAAAATGTGGTGCAATGCAACCAGTAAAAACAGCTTCATTGTTTTACTTCATGGCTTAGTCATATGGCTTTTGAATTGTTCCTATAGACTCCCTTGTATTCAAATCGTGCAAACTCCACACGGATTCTGTGACAACTAGTGTATTTTCTAACTGAAATGCAAGCATCCGAGCTTATAAAAAGTCATACAGAAAAATATAAAATACAAACCTTTTGTTCACAAAATGTTTCCTGATTACCTAAACTCCCTTTATTCCAACTTATCTGCCAGTCGTTCCCCTACTTAAACTAGGTCGAGATTTTGACTCTTTTCTGAGTGAATAAACATTTATAAAATTACCCGTGTCCACATTGACAAAGTAAGTGTGACTACTAAGTTGCGGATGAACCTCGTAAGTTGAAGGAACTTTTTTTCTTTTTATTCCGTATAAGTTTTTGGTTTTCGTGTGTGTTCCTCTGTGACGTCTTTATGGATGACTTGACTGAAATGTAGGCATATCTGCTCACAATAGTGCGCTGCACAACACAACCTATGACACAGAGCAGGTTGAATAGTACAGTAAGTCAGCATTTCAAGTTTCTATAATTTCAACTCAAGTTTGGTAAGCGTTTATTGCTTTTAAACTCTCAAGAACGATGAAATAACTGTCACTATTTTCAAGATACATTTTGCGATCAATGTATAAATCATTTTGAGCAGGTGTCACTTAGAACGTGGAAACTTAGAAGGGCGTACAAACTGTTGGTATCTGTTGGAACAAACCGATGCAATTTACAAAAAATAGGTATTTTAAGTTTTCAGATATTATATTGCACTTTTATCCTCCAGATCAAAGAATAATAGCATCACTTTCAAGATGAGGTAGTTGGAAAGGTTTGATTTATTTCTGAAACACGTGTTCTGCTTGAAATGTTCATACGTCACTCATCAATGAAGGATCTTGTATAAATTGTCTTACTACTTTTATCTAGAAAATTCACACAAGCGTGAGAGAGCTGTTACTTCGACAAGCCGATTTCTTGAGTAGTTTGTAATATACATGATTATTATTACATTCAATCAATATCGCATTTGAAAATGGTGATCCATTATTGCCCAGTGTTCTGTTTGTGGTGGAAATCGATCGTTTGATATTGTTTAGCAAGCTTCGTCAACGGATTACCACTGCGTGTCATCACGTGATCACCAACGTACGAACAACTAAACTTTTCTCATTTTACTTCTCCATTCTCTGGTTCAGAATTGGTCTGAATTGTGCAAACTCGACAGCGACGGTGATGGTTTGACGAATGGTGAAGAGCTAGGCGATCCGGAATGCACATGGACAAACGGCATGCAGCCAAACAGAACGACCAATCTCTCACACCCAGGCATGTGCACACCGATCGATAGTGCAACTTGTCTTGACAAGAATGCTTGTGCAGTGAGTCTGGCGTTATTCAACCAAGTGTGCCAAATCGCGTCTTACGCTTTACGTTTGAATATTTTCCACGAGAAAAGTTGTAATTTCCCACCTGTGACTCAACCTGATACTGTGTTCAATCTAATTAAGAGGGAACGAGCCTTAAAGGAAAAAGTATACTCCGATCGTTTGACATTTTTTGCTGAAGTTTAATTCGAGTTAGAGTTCTAAATCAAATTAAACAGGAAAGCTTATCACTTGGAACGGGAAATGTTAGCTGCACTAAGGGACAGCATTAAAGAGATTTGCAACAGGGTTGCATCATTCATGTTGGAATCATCGGAGAAGAGTTTCGGAAACACAGGAAATGCTAGGGCGGCGCCAGAACGAGGTGCGTTGGACCAACTTCTCGACAAAGGGAAATAACAATTAGTTTTTTTCTAAAGTTTTATCCAATACGGAATGCCTAATTTTTCATTTTGTTTTTGGTTCATTCTCAGGGATTTTATCTATTCCTCAGTAAGGCAAGAACGATCTAATTTGAGCTTCTAATTTGAAATTGTTTCAGGCTAGTCACTCGGGTAAATGTGTGAAGTTAAAAGTTGAAAGGGAACAGCAAGAGATGCAGGCCTTACAGTGCACTCTATCAGCACATGTATAAAATCGGAGAGTAACGAAAGGTGTGTATGAAAATTCTGGTATCCTTGGTAAGGTATCCATTATAACACCGTACTAGATGGTGGGCATCGTTGATGTTCTTTATTAGGGACAAAAAGTAGACATACGGATTTACCGACGAAATTTCCTAACGAGTTGATATTTTTTGCCAACTTTACTACATCAGCGGTATTAAAGAAATGTTTTGATTTTTTAGAATATAAGGTACAACAACTATTTCAATCATCGTTTTTATTGACCGATTTTTGCCTCCACGATATCACCTAAAAAAATATGCGGGTTTCTTTATGTGTTCTAAGGTCTGTTAAATAATATGTGAATGTCGAACCTGAGTTCTGTTTCAGAAATCGATTCGGTCGAGTGAATAGCACGAGTCTGCTCAGGTGACTGGATGTGATTAGGTAAAGAAAGATAGCACGAGGAGGCCGAGGCGGGTGCGAGTCAAACACTGTGTCATTCTGCATGCGTAAATCAATGACGTCAATCTGGAGGAGGTTTTAGAAAGCAATTCTCGTCTTCCGTTATGACTGGTCCAAGTGTTCCAGTGTTTGCGCTATAAGGTACCAGATTACGCTGCCCTCCAGACGATTTATGTTCGAGCATGGGATGCCGTAACACGATTCAATCCCAGAGAGGGATATAAGAAGAAGAAAACCATCAAGGCCTATCAGTGATGCGTGACATAGAATGCGTCTATTTTATGTCATAAATCCTCAAACTGGAACATTTGACAGAACACACTGATGGTGCAATTTTGTCTATTGGCAACAAAGGCTAAGAAGTGCATGTTTTGTGGCAATTTTGATTGAGATGTTTGCTTGTCAGTCAGATAATAAAACACATTTTTTTCGACTGTTTTATTCTAATTTGATCAATATAGAACGCGGGCCGAACCTCAGTCGAATGATTCTTGTTTTTATCCCGAGAATGTTTTAAATGGGAAAAACAAACTCATCGGGTGTAGGACGAGCGCGGCGGTTCTACTACCTTACTTTTTTGGTTGTTACTGATTTCAAGTGTGATAAATCACTTTTGCTTGCGTGAGCCATGCGTTCTCGCCTGATAATGAAAGATTTGAAGGTTAAATAGGAGCCTTCCATAATAAGCCGTTGACGACGTTCATTTTCCTCCCATTAGAGATAATTGTTATCAATTCTGAATAGAAATTTTGCTTCGGGAACTGTTCTCTCGTGGAGTAAACGATCAAAGACTGCACAAATTTGTAATTAATCAATGAGAAAATAAACAAAAACGATTGGAGGAAGAATCGATAAGAGAAGTGGTTTTGCACTGCCAACGTACTCCGGGCCCTCCAAGCACTATTCAGCTGAGACCGATGCGCGACAGCGCATACAAGGCTAAGCGGGCGACGGAACGATGGAAGAGCGCTGATACTCACAATGGGGTATTCGGGGTACAAGCCCTCGAGGGGACACGGGTACACAGTTCCTCCATGGATCAGAGCTAACAATAAGCTTGCAAAGCAAAGGAAAGAGAACGTCATGAACCCAAAAGATTTAGTGGAATAAGTCACTCACGATAAAGTATTTGTGACTCGTTTGTCAAGCGTAATAGTTTGTTCTACCACAGAACAATTAGTGGACGAGGTGGAAGGTGTTTCACTAAGGCATTTTTGACACCAGTTCTCTCACGGGGTTAGTTCTCTTTTTTGTCATCTTTGTTTCCAGTTGATTCTCCACTTACGTCTCTAGGAGTGGGACAGCCGATTATTTTCATTGCACGATGCATTATCAAAACCATATGGTTCAATCAGTATACTTTGATCTTCCACTAACCTTGATAAAATATGAAAGCACAGCAAAGAAAATTCACTTTCATAACTGCAAATAGGAATATTATGGACTGATAATTGAGAATAATCATACTGTGTTGTATTTTGCAATTGTCAGAGTCCAAACTATGTCGATAAGAATTCTAAAAAATAATTTAATCATTGGTTTGTTCACGGTCACGTTACTGTCAGATTACTCGAGCCTAAGCAAGAAAGTTTCCTAGGTCACGGTTAGGTACAGAGCGGTGTGTGAAGACTTTATTTAATGGAATTCAGGACTAGGTAAAGGTGAAAGGAAGGGGGTAAGTGAACAGTATCCAGTCCATTGGATCCTACCACTTTGAGACAGTTTACTTCTCCAGTTTGCCGAATACGATCAATCATCCGATCGGGCCGGTGATCATCGAAGCCGTTTTGTAGAACGCTTTTAGAGAGAAGTGAAATCAAGACTTTACAGCACTCCTGATGGGTCCATTTCTCCGGTAATCGACACAGCTAAGACATCTAAATTTTACAATTAATTCGGTCTATCATGGAACATCCACTGTGAAATATTTCCTTTCCTTATGACAATAAACACATCTTCAACTTACCAAAGTTGAGTATAATGAGGAACCGAATGAAAATCTAACAAACTTGGACGAAAGAAAAAATCACTGAAGATTCCCCCTGTGACACTGACAGCACAATACGAACAGCGAACAAGCTCGTTTTCAACAACTTCTTCCTCCGATATAAATATATATAATGAACAGATGTGCAGTAAATAATGTCAGAATGAATACACGTTGATTGCACAACATGGATGTGACGAAGAATGGTTAAGAATGACAAAACAAGACTTGAAAGCCAATGGTTGGGAGAACCGAGGAAAAAAGAGGACAAGGGAAAGAAGAGGGATGAAACCGGGTGGTGAGGTCATATACTTCGGGGTTAGTTTAAATGGTTACATGTGGGGTAATGGGTGAATTGACATTTTGAATTGGTCCTGGTTCATCGTACATAACAATAGTACTAATTTTACTGATCTATCATTCGAGAGAAAATGAGCTAACAACTTGGAGTTTTTTTCTCGGTGTTTCATTTCAATAATCCCAGCACTTTTCTCTCACGTTGACTGTTTAGCATCGTATGAAATACGTCGAGTAGTGCGTTATAAGTTGTTGTCGTAGTCGAACTCTTGAGAAACACAGTCGAGTTTCGCGGTAACGGCAAAAGTGCTAACGAATGAAATTTCCGGTGTTCATTCTCAAGCTATTACAACCACAGTTTGTGGGGTATCCAACGAAAGGATCCAGGATCATTGGGCGCCAGCCTCGAACTCGAGATTCACTTCAAGACATCAAGACTACTTTGTTAAGTTCAAAACCATTTATCGTATTCCCAAGTTAGCATCGAAATAATTACGCTTTTTTCTACTTCGCAGGACTGAGGCCATCGGAATCAGATTAATTGACCACTCTGATATTCAACGAAAAAAGCATTTCATCGAGTTACTATCCTTGCTAGGGTCAATTATCTAGCGAGAATGTAATTCGAGCTCAGTAACTGAAAGAAGTTAATGATCAAGGGGGGATCAGTCAAAATGTTGATGTATGCAGGATAACTTTGTACACAAAGTAATAAGATACACTTCGCACCGTACTACACAATATTTAGTGCTATACTTGTGAATGATCAGTTATTAAATGATTAAGAAAGCTTATTTCGTATATTTGATTTTGTTTTCTTTGGCACAATGAACGTGTTACACAAATTTTGAAATCTGTTGGTGTTGGTTTACCAAAGAAACAATATTAACAAAAATGTGTGCAAACGTTTTTATCTTGTCGATGTATTGTTCCTTGTCACGACAGTGGACCGACTATCTCTTCGGTCTATTCTTTTTGTTCTTGCTCTCTTTTCCATTCAACTACAGACCACAGACTATTGCCCAGTTCAGCTTACACCGTTTGCAACTGCCATGCTCGCTGTCGGGACATTGGCTATGGTGTTTGTGACAATTATGAAGTTTGCCAGTAATCGTGAACTGAAGTATCGCTTGGAATATGGTCATCCGGCACCGGGGCGGTGTTGTAAGAAGTTGCCCTATATGAGGCCTGGGTTCTATTGGGATACATGAATGACATGTGATAATCGGAACTCTCAAATTGTGACTACTATGTACGGCGCAGAAGAATCTTGCTGGTGGTTGAAATGTACAAAACATATTCCGCTTTTTTGTCACTGCTTTCAAACAAATAGTGTTTACAATGTACCTTTTAAATATGCAAACTAAACTATAAAGTGACTTTTTCTTCTGACTTCCTATATCAATCCATTTGACTGTTTGGTGTACCAGATAGTGGAAGGTAATTAGACAGGTTAAAGTGAACAGATCATTCAAAGTGCTCTATTTTTGAGAAAAAGTTGGAAGAATTTTGGTATTGGTACAGACTGGTAAACAGACTCGAAAATACACAGCTAAAACAAACACCACTTCTCAGAAATGCTACATGGTTTTGATGTAAAAGAAAACAAAATTTTGATCAATTATTTGCAATACTCTAGAGATGTGACAAGTAATTTTGCAATTTTACCCGAAAACTCGACGCTTGCACACAATAACTGGGAGAGGAATTTCATCAGAAAATATAGCTCTTTGAATCGCGCCATTTAGTTAGTTTTGAGATCGTCCATGATAGATGTAATGGGGTTTTTGTTACACTTGTCCGGCCTCAGAACGGGGGAGACTTCTTGCTGTTAGTTCGTGAAGGTATAAGGTAAGTTGGATGTCATCTTTCAACTGAGAAAAACAATTGTCATGATTACTAATCTCTTGTATCTGGTGGAATGGTGAAATAAATTAGTGAGAAATTTGGTGCATTTTTCAAAAGATCAAGCCAACTTTGCGATTTCCAAGAACTAAAAGACAAAAGCGTTCCTGCTGATGAGTTTTGTGATCCTTTACTCGAAATCCGTTGGTTCTGCTTTGCTCTTGTAACATTCCTTCAACCGGTGGTTATTTCGTCACTGTTTTTGTGAAGAATGATGTAAATGTATTTTACACTGATGCAACAAAAAGGCTGATATTGTTTTACTTCAGCAATTTTGAGTGTTTAGTTCAGTTCGGTTTTTACAACTCTTAACCGTGCATTCTCCTGTGTCTATATATTAACAGTCATTACGCAACAGGTTCAAATCTAATCGACGGGATTATTTGCAAATCAATGAAATGAAGCAATTTAGAGTGTGCTGTTGTTCTTACGCTGGTGGACATTTTACGATCACTTCTGTTTTTCGAAAGCATTTGGCTCCAACCAATGAATATCTAATTTAGTGGGAAACACTCCAGTGCATGTCATACTATTCGAAAATAGTTTTGGCAACATGTTGATCGGTCTTTCAGAGAAGCACTGAGCTGTTCGAGGCGCAATATAAAAGTTTAATTCGACGCCACTAGCAAATCAAAATCACAGTTGAGAAACAAAAACCTACCTATAATGCTGTACGGCAGTTTGAATGCGCAAATCATCTACTTGTCAGTAGTCAAACATTAAAAACACAAGATAGAAACAAACGCGTCTGTGTTCACATGGTTAGTAGAGAATGAACACAAATATGATGTAATGATGTAATGACCAATGGAGGCCCCTGAATCAATTTTGATCCTAAACAACAGAAGAAAAATAAACTGGATAACTTCGGCACATCTTGGAACGTGTGAAGTGAGTGCTTAAACCCACGTCCGTTGTCAGCCTATTCAACCACATACACATTCTAGCGTGAAATTCGCGGTTGAATCGAGTTTGAAAGGCTATGAGCGTCATCAAAATTAGTCATCAAAATAGCTGATAATCCATCCTGATCCATACTGAAAGGCTGCGATTAGTGACACTGTGTACATACAAATGCAGGAAGAACCATTAATCGATATTTAGTATTAAGGCAACCCAAACAATTATGTTATTGGCGAGTAAAGTGATCTCCTATCGACAGTCTCAATGTTACATATACGTAAGATGGGGTGATCCGAAAGAGCGAATCGGAATACCGACTTCCACAGGTTATTATAGAACTTTACCATACATAAAAATTTCCCTCATTGAGTCATATTTGTTCTACTGTGTTTAATTTTTTCAATGTGAAGCCTAAAGAGCCAGCGGACTACTCTTCAATTCCTCACATCCACCAATCTGTATATGAATCTCGGACCAAAAACTGCTCACAATGAATTTGTCACGTGTAACACGTTGGGTGCTAGTTCCCCTATTTTGACCACCAAGTCTTATCCCTGCTCACCTTATACACAGTGAACTGTAATTATAATAATTATTTTCATTAGGTTGCTTTTGGGTACATTCAGATTTAGACAAAAGTATAAATAAACACACACACTTATCAACTTTGGCATATGTTCGACGCCGTTGTCGTCAATACGCACGAGTTTATCATCGAGCCAACTCAACGTGATTTAGACATACATTATGTACGTTGATCAATGGTGAACTACGGTCTGCAAAGAGCTTTGTGGTTTGTTTTTCGTCTTATCTGTTCGCTGTGCAGAGCGACTTACTTGCAAATGCTTCATCAGTCACCGAGTGTACATGAACAATGTTCGTAGGTTGGTAGCGGTTCAGTCCCACGGATTCTTCCACAAAACACTACCCGGGAAATTGAAATGAAACAGTTGCACAACATTATCGACGTCGATACCATGTTCATAACGAAGAGGAAGAATAAACGGGAATAATTGGGTCAGGTTTAAGACATCTTAGGGATAGATAAGTATCGCAAAAATATGTATGAGGGTTACATTTATTGGTCCAAAACTAGTTACTTCAACACTAAGTACATGAGCGATATTGTACGTACAATGCATGAATCGACTGGTCCTTTCATTGTACCTCATATACGAACTGGGAGAATCAGATAAAGGAAATTTTCTCGAAGCATTCATTCACGGCCACATTAATGTGATTGACCCCGTTCCCACAGATCAAATGTTTTAAAAACCAAACAAGGATTAGTCCAATGAACAAATAACTTGGACAGTACAGAATCAAACCCACTGAAAAATCCGCTAATTTATCTACAGGGAGTGTTTCAAAGTCAAAGTTACAATTCTCAAACCTTGAGAGATTATTTATACTCCCCACATATTAAGTACAATTGTTAAAGAATTTCTGAGCTAAGGCCATAAACTGATATGGGGTAAATGTTGTGCCTTTAGTGATACATGATATTTCTTGAATCCCTGTCTGTAATTGTACTGTATTTGATTCAAATAAACGTGCGTTTAATTGTTCTCTGTCAACCGTGTGATTCAGACTCGCACCGCGAATGTTTGCGAATGTTTGTTCAACTTAAAGTCAATTCAGGGTAACCAAAATATATTGTTCTCGCCAGTTCCGGCTAGAATGAAACAGCGTTCTAATGCTGTTTACTGGCGTTTACAAATAATTTCGTATAAAATATAACACATTTTGTGGAACGATTGGATTTGAGCTATACATGAAATCCACTTTCAGGGCTGTTTCAATCACTATCAAATCAGCTGGAAGAACCGTCTGAAAAAGAATTCTTGATCAACAATAGACAGTCAAGGAGTATGATCCACTTTTACTCTTCCTGGTGATTGCAGATAGATACAATTTTATTCTCATCGAAAGCACCAGTCACGTTTGGTTCACAAAAGTGAGAGAATTACGGGGATGTTGATATCGGTAAAGGACCAGATACCGGAAATGAAGTTTTAGTTTGACCCGACAGAAAAAAACCGCGAATCACTCAGAATGAATGAAACACTATCCGTGCAACTCAAACGGTAAGTAAAAGATGATAGAAATAGTCGAAATGTACTGCATCCAAGAAGTTGAGTACTATCATACCATAATTAATGGAGACGTCAGCTTGACTGGCGATGGAACTTTCACAAATCGACGATCACTCTTGGCAAACGATGGAGCGTAGCAGCGATCGGTTCATTTTACCGCATTTTTCTGTCCAAAGGTGGGTTAGATGTATCTCACTTTCATTTGGTTAATGTACATGTGTAGAAATTTCCGAAAATTACGTTCCAAGTTACGAAATCGAGAAATATAAATGTAAATATTTTCGTATTTAACTCAGGGCTACTCGTGAGTAGTGTTGTGCAATAATTAATATTCATTTTCACTAATCTTTCAATCTTCATCTACGCACCCCATCCTCAGCTCATTCATCCAAACAAACGCGCGGGAAGCACTAGACTCGAGTGCCCTTGTTAGAATTCACCAGTACTGCATATGCATTCCCCACTCGAGTTGACCAGAATTACCAATTCGAGCCAGCCCATGGTGCGAGCTGGTTTGTACAGTGGTAATACATAGATCTGCCATGTCTGGGGTCAGGAGCTCAAATTCCGGCCGGTTTGGTAAATATCCTTTACTGGTAAGCCCTAAAAAGGGCGAAACTAGAGTCTGAGGCATCGTTAGTATATAGGCAAATGAATGAACTGAGGGGTTTGCGTAAAAAGGAAGTTGGAAGGATGGTCGGTCGAAATAAAACAAACAAGCGGATATGCTCTAAACTATCACCTTTTTAAGTTTGACTAAAACTGAATTCGGTTTATATTGTGCCAGGAGAATCGCATGTTATAAACTTGTACCGATGAAGTGTTTCTCTATGCTATTTCGAATTCCCTTTTTCACAATAAATAAAAACAAAAGAAGAGTTGGTTGATTGCTTTTTTTCATAGTTGACGGTAATCATGTGGCATCTGAAAATCCCGGTCAGTACTCCCATAGAAGATTACGGACATTTCAACCGTAAGGCACAAACCTTGTTGCAATGCAAAGATAATTTCAGCAAACAGTTGTAGCATGTTCGTCGGTAGAAATCTTTTGTTTAGCGGCAAAGAGTAGGACATCACTGGTTAGTTTGGTTTCAATGAGAGGATGTCTTTTCCAAAATGCCTTGTAGTCCCTCATCTCCGATTTGGGCATCGCAACTGATTAAAACGAGGGATACAACTATTTTGACGAAATCAATGATAAACCAGACATATATGAATGTTATCTTCGTGGCACTGAATCGCATCGTTACAACCCATGGCTAAGTGCAAGCCACAGAAAGATAAATATAATTCCAAAAGACATGCAT